CCTTGGTTTTTTTTTTTTTTTTATTGTTGCTGTTGGATCTGAAATTAGCTGTTAGGGTTTTTTTCTTTTTAATTTTTAAAATGTTTTTATTTTATTCCATGTGTCTTTTTGGCCAGCTCATCAGGCCTTCATTCGAGTGGGTCTTCTCTGGATCCCACGGAAGGTGCCCGGCTCGGTTTCCTTGTGAATTCCTCCTTTCCCAGCAGCTCNTAGCTGTTAGTAAAATGTTTTTATTTTATTCCATGTGTCTTTTTGGCCAGCTCGTCAGGCCTTCATTCGAGTGGGTCTTCTCTGGATCCCACAGAAGGTGCCCGGCTCGGTTTCCTTGTGAATTCCTCCTTTCCCAGCAGCTCTTACCCAGGTCTGCTCCGAGCAGGGACACCGACCCGAACATGGGCTCCCCAGGGCTCAGGGAGCAAAGACCAGGCAGGTGGCACGGCTCGGCAGACACACTCGTCCTGCCCGTCTGGGTCCCGCAGTCCAGCCGCGTCAACCAATTTGCCAGCCCATTGGCTGCCGGGGAGATGCCCCCTCCTCAGCCTCCACTCCCCAAACCCTGCCCAGCCCGTGGGGCCTCCCTGGCAAAGCCAGGGGTCTGTTCTCTAGCACCCACACCCCTAGCACGTAACAGTCCCTCCTGCACAGCGCCGTCCATCAAGTGTCACGGAGCCACAAATGACAGCCACGTGCCATTTCCAATTTCCTAGCAGCCACTCAAGTAAAAAGTTTATTCCAAAGGTATCAGCGTAAACATCATCACTAAGATATTTCACATTCTTTTGTTTGTACCAACTTGTTGAAACCCAGGGTGTATTTCACCCGTCCGCCTAGACTCGCTGCGTGCCACGTGTGGCTGGTGTGGCCGGTGGCCAGCCACTGCGCCGGGCGGAGCGGGCGTGGGACCTCACGGCACCCGCCCAGCCACGGNCGCCCCTGGAAGGGCCGGGCGGGTGTCCGGGCAGTGCCGTGGCCGCCGCAGCTCCTGCCCGAAGCCGCCGTTTACGGAATATTGGCAAGTTCAAGTTCACGGAACTGCTGATTCATCAGTTGTCTCATTTGGTCTCACGGCTTTTCTGTCAGATTGTTACTATTCTCTAAATTGTTGCTGGGTGACCGAGCGTTTTTCCTCTGCTTGGTCATCTTGGGGGTTCATTTCATGTGTTTGCCACCCCACCTCTGATGACTCATTTCATGCTCAGTAAAAGCGACAGGAAGTGTCCTCACTTTCCTCCCGCTGCACCTGGGCTCGGTCTCCAGGCACTGACCGAGCGTCAGCCTGTCCTGGGGGCCGGCTCAGGCACCCAGGGGTCCCGGGATTTGGGGGAGAAGCCCCTGTTCGGGTGCAGGACACCTGGCCCCTGCGGAGTGTGGCCACAGCAGAAACGCTCCCGACGCTGACCCCTGCAGGAGGTGGCGGCCGAGGACTGGATGCTGATCATCCCATCACGGCGGCAGGCTCAAGGCCACCCTGACGATTCAGGCTCGTCAGCCACGTGGCTCAGACACAACGTCTCTCAGACACAGACCAGGAACAAAGAGGGCGGGCGGG